CAGCTGCTTTGGCGCCGCCAGCCCTGCCCTGGTTCACCGGGACCGGGAATCCTGCAGGCACTGAGGGGGGCGGAGGCACCGGGGCCTCCTCCTGGGGCAGGGCAGGACCCAGCCAGGTTCAAGAGGCAGGCAGGGCCTCTGCCCTGGGGGCCGGCAGCTGACATCAGGGCACGTTAGCCCGAGTTTGAATCCGGGAGCACGTCCAGGTGTGGCTGGGAATTGCGGGGCTTTAACAAGGGTCCGGTCAGATCTTTCCCCCTCCCGTGGGTCTTAGCAGTGACCCACGGCTACGACTGGCCCGTTTGGTGGGCCTGCTCCAGAAATCGCCCCTCCCCCCCGTCGCATACAAGGAGCCTTTGGTCTCCCGGCAATGGGCTCAGCCGGGAGGCATGCAGGCTAGTGTCACGACAGCCAGGGCAGGCTTGGCTCGGAGCCAGCTGAGGAGTGCCCCGTGGGCCAGCTGGTCACCCGCCGGGGTGGGATAGGCTGGGGGGGCTCCCAGGGTGGGACCTTCAGGTGGCTTAGGAGGGCGAGGGTAGGCAGCCCCTACTCACCCCTCTGGCACCTGCTCCTTCCTCCTACCGGCACCTCTCTTTTTAAAAAAAAATTTTTTTTTAACATTTTTATTTATTTTTGAGACAGAGAGAGACAGAGCATGAATGGGGGAGGGGCAGAGAGAGAAGGAGACACAGAATCGGAAGCAGGCTCCAGGCTCCGAGCCATCAGCCCAGAGCCCGACGCGGGGCTCGAACTCCCGGACCGTGAGATCGTGACCTGAGCCGAAGTCGGACGCTTAACCGACTGAGCCACCCAGGCGCCCCCCGGCACCTCTCTTAAAGAGGACACGGCCCCTGGACTGGCGGTGGGAGGCGGTGACCCCGAGCGGGAGGCTCCCGTCTGGGCAGATAGAACCCCGCCACGGTTCTTGGGCTCCAGTTTGCCGCAAAAGGGCAGGGGGCACCGGGGCCAGCTGGGGACGGGCATGTCGAGGCCCTGTGCTCACCGCTCTGCTCCGTGGCCCGGGATGCTGACAGTGGCCAGTGGCTTTGATGTGGGCTGGCAGTGATGTTCAGTGGGGCCATTTTTGGAGCCAGAATGGGGCTCGTGCTGGACAGCCGGCATAGTCTGTTGTGCCCCTTGCCTGCTTATGGGCTCCGGGGGGTGGGGTGGGGAGGGACAGGATGCCTTCGTCACCTGTGTCCCCTTTGCCCACGTCCTACCAGCCGGGGACCCGGCACCAAGGAAGCGCTTCGCTGGGGCTGAGGGAACGCAGGGCCAGGAGCAAGCCCCAAGCCCACCCTGGCCCTGGCCACGGCCTCCACTCATGCCCACGTGTGCCCTAACTGCCTGGCTGCTAACGGGAGGCGGGCGGGGGTGGGGGCAGGACTCTGACCAGAAGTGAGGGCAGCGCTCCAGCCAAGCCCTCCTGCTCACTGCCTCACCCCTCCTCTGCTTCGGAGGGGGGCAGTTGGCCGGGGCTTGCGTCCTGCCGGCCCC